CGGCCGCGCTCACAGCCGCCGGACCAGCGCGGGCGCCCCGTTGGGGCAGTTTTCATGGATCCCACCCGCCTCACAACATCTTCAAAGATGTACATTAACTCCTCAGCGGGGTTGTCACACACTGCAGGCAGTGCTACTTTCTTTCCTTCGGCACTGCACTTCCTAAATTCCCTAGCGGTGAGTCTAAAAGTGAAAGGTGGAAATATTCACTTTCCAGCCATTTGGTTCACACACAGCGTCTCAGATGCCGGCCGTTCCTGACAAGGTTGACAGACGGACGGCCCAGAGATGAGGAAAAGATGGTTGGCTTCATGTTTCAGAGGCCAAAAGGCCCAGGCGGGTAAGTGCCTGCCCGAGGCCCCTCAGCCGATCGGTCGGACCTGGAAAAGCCCATCCCCACCCTGGGTCTGGGCCCGTCCCCACCACAGCTCCCTCCCAGAGCTGCCGGGAGACGGAGGGACCAGCCGCAAAGCCACTGCCACCAGAAAGCCCCGAACAAATGCGCGGGATGGAGAGGAAGCGAACTAATGCGCGGGGGCAGAAATGCGCGGGGTGGAGAGGAAGCGAACAAATGCGCGGGATGGAGAGGAAGCGAACAAATGCACGGGGTTGGAGAGGAAGCGAACAAATGCGCGGGATGGAGAGGAAGAGTCTGCCCCGTGCAGGGCAGAGGCGCCCACCAGACACGGCCCTGCCCTGCAGCAGTGCAGGCGCCCGTCCCGGTGTGGGGACTGCGGTGGCTGCGTGAGCCTGGTCCGCGTGCGCCTTCTGAAAGTGGGGAGCCACAGGGTGGGCCACTGTGAGATGGGCCTGAGCTCAGGGAGGCCTGGGTCTCCAGGAGGACGGAGGGCCCAGTGCTGTCAGAGAAACGCAAGCAGAAGAGGGGTGGAGAAAGGGACGTGTGCTTATTTTGTTCTTTCATCCGTTTACCCTGAATGAACACCTAGATAGACCCCAGGACAGCTGTAGCCCTCGGCCTCATTCTAGCCGGGGAAGTGAGATGGCAAGCAAAAGGGGAGGTCCAGTGACTAGTCTGAGCGTCAGGGAACCTTCCTGAAGAAGGTCAGAGCTAAGCCAAGGCCTGAAAGATAAGCAGGCACTGGCCAGGAAGAAAGGAAGGGAAGTTACCCAGGCCAGGGAACAGCAGGTGCCCAGAGAGGACTACTTCCGTGTGTTGCAGGGTAAGGGGAGAGGAGTGAGAGATGGGCAGGGGCCACGCTGAGCAAGTTTGGTGGGAGAACTGCATGGGCAAAGGCAGCTGTGAAAGGGAACCATGAGGCCCCGTGGCCGGAGGGCAGGAAGTGGCATGAGCATTCTGGAACAGTAGCTGAAGAGGCTGAGGAGGTAAGCAGAGACCTGCACCTGGAAGGCCTACAGTGCCTGGCTGCAGGGCCCGGACATTAGCCGGCAGGCCATGCAAATGGACACAAATGAGGACTAAGACACTAAGGAGCAGTGGGGATTGTGGCGACAGGAACGCACGCTCTGTCTCTGCGGCAGCCAGCGCTCCACCACCCCTGGTGATTACCACGCCTGGAGGCAGCCGCAATGTCTCAGACCATCTGCTCATCAAAAAGAGCTGAGAGTTCAGATTTTTTTTATATGAAATCACTTGATTTTAAATGTTTGCAATATATTCAACACCAGGTAAGCCAAGCAGATCATATCGATAGGCCAGTGGTTCCCAAACTCTATCACCTGTGGAGCTTTTACAAATCCCAATGCCCACGTCACCTCCCACACCAATGAAAGTGTCTGGGGCAGGAGCCAGGTATGAAATCCCAGGCAGTTTCAATGTGCAGCAAGTTTGAGAACCAGTGCTGTAGGCTAAGTACAGGCAAACCTCATTTTATTGTGCCTCAGAGGTGTTGCGGTTTTTACAAACAGAAGGCAAGACCCTCCACCAGCAAAAAGATCATGACTCGCTTTCTTGTGGTACTTGCTTTATTATGGTGGTTTGTGGTGGGACCCCAAAATCGGAGTACACCTGTGTGTCATTTGGGTTGCCAGGCAAAGGCAAGGGGAGCCTTGGGGAGTTCAGAGCAGGGGAGGAACAGACCAGTTTAGTTTCAGGAAAATCAGTCCTTAGGAGGAAGGCAGTGCAGTCTGGGGTGAGAAGGGGCAGTGGTGGGATCCTGCTAGTGACCAACCATCCCAGTTTGCCCAGGACTGAGTGGTTTCTTGGGACATGGAACTTGAAGTGCTTCGTCACTCTAGATCCTGCCCCTGATATAGTTCTGTCTCCCCAGATTTCTGGGGACTGATGCCACAAACTCTACATTCTAAAAGGGTCCCTAAGAAAGGGTCCTGTGTCTCCTTGGGGTACACTCACCTGGGGCGCTGAGCCCCAGGCCTGACAGGCTTGTCCAGGGAGCTAGAAACGGAGAGGAGTTAGAGCCATCTGTTCTCCACCTGGCAGAGCAATCCGAGTCAAACCCAACTCTGGAATACCACCAAGCAATAGAAAGGGACAGACTAAGGATCCAGGCAACAGTATGGATGCCTCTCAAAAACATTATGCTGCCCTAACCGGTTTGGCTCAGTGGATAGAGCATCGGCCTGCGGACTGAAAGGTCCCAGGTTCGATTCCGGTCAAGGGCATGTACCTTGGTTGTGGGCACATCCCCAGTAGGAGGTGTGCAGGAGGCAGCTGATCGATGTTTCTCTCTCATCGATGTTTCTAACTCTCTATCTCCCTTCCTCTCTGTAAAAAATCAATAAAATATATTTTAAAAAAACACACATTATGCTGAGTGAACGAATAGATGCAAATGAGCACATACTGCATAAGTCCATGCATATGAACATGTACAACAGGTGAACCTCGTCAAAACCAAAATCAGAACAATGGTTGCCTCTGGGAAGTTGGGACAGAAAGGGGGGACAAGGGCAACAGGAAGGGGCAACAGGAATTGGGGGAAGATAGTGATGTATTTGATAAGGGCTTGTGTTATGCAGATGTATGCATGTGTTGAAACTGACTGAATCATACAGTTAACAACTGGGCATTTCATTATATGGATATTTTGCCTCAACAGAAAAGAAAAACAAACTTATAAGTAAACTAGAGGCCTGGTGCCTCTAGTTTGTGCATGGGTAGGGTCCCTTGGCCTGGCTGGCAATCCAATTGGGCTGGCCAGCTTGGGTGGGGAGGCGGGGAGAGGGAGGGGAAGGGACACCGTGGGAGGTTGGCTGTGGGAACACACTTGACCACCAGGGGGAAGCTCCTGCATTGAGTGTCTGCCCCCTGGTGGTCAGTGCACATCATAGCCACCGGTCAATCAGTCATTCGGTGGTTCAGTCACTTGGGTATATATAGACTAGAGGCCCAGTGCATGAAATTCGTGCACTCGGGGGTGGGGGAGGGTCCCTCAGCCCGGCCTGAGCCCTCTCACAGTCCAGGAGCCCTCAGGGGATGTCTGACTGACAGCTTAGGCCCGCTCCCTGCGGGGGGCGGGCCTAAGCCGTCAGTCAGACATCCTTAGTGCTGCCACAGGGATGGGAGAGACTCCCACCATGGCTGCTGCGCTCCCAGCCATGAACCTGGCTTCTGGCTGAAAGGCGTTCCCCTGTGGGAGTGCACTGACCACCAGGGGGCAGCTCCTGCGTTGAGCATCTGCCCCCTGGTGGTCAGTGCGCGTCATAGCGACCGGTCATTCTGCCGTTCGGTCGATTTGCATATTAGCCTTTTATTATATAGGATATTAGTTGGGGAATCTAAGTCTGATCATGTCATCCTCTGCTGAGACCCCTTCAATAATTCTTCATCTCTTCCAGGGTAAAACCCAAAGCCCTGACGATGGCCTCCAACAGAATGACCATACACTCTGGTTACCCCAGGTGTCACCTGTTATCTGGGCATAATTATAAATGCATCATCCTCTTTTATTCTCAAAGTTTGAACGACAGAATATGTGCCTGCCTTGCCTATGAGGCCCTCCCTGACCTGACCTCATTTCCCTCCAACATACCTCTCTCTCTCTCCTTCCTCTCTCCCTCCCTCAGCTCCAGCCACACTGATCTCATTGCCAGGCATGCTCCCCCTCAGGACCTTTGCATTGGCTGTTCCATCTGCCCAGGATTCTCTTCCCCCAGATATCTGCATGGCTCTCTCCCTTACCTCCTTCAAGCTTTTCTTTAAATGTCTCTTAGTATGGCCTTCCCTGAGCTCCCCATTTAAAATTGCAATCCATTCTTTCCCCATCTTCCTTACTCTGTTTTTTAAAAAGTAGTTATAACTTCCTACATATGATATAATTTACTGAAAGTAAGCTCCATGAGGCAGGGATATTTTCTATTTTATGTTGTATCCCCAGGGCCTAGAAAAGTACCCAGCAAGCAGTACCCACAATACATGTTGCTGTGAATAAAGGAATTCCCCTCCCTAGTGGAGCTCACAGTCCGGTGCCAAAGCAAACCCAGACCATCAGGACAATAACCAGTGCTCCATGAAATGGCAGAAGAGGGGCAGGGGGCATGAAAGGAAAGACCCCGCCAGGAAGCAGAGGCTTGAAAAACAAGAAGGCATCTGCCAGCGGAAGAGGGGATGAGAGGGGCCCTCTGGACAGAGCAAATAGCATGGGCTAAGCCTCAGAGATGAAAAACAGCGAGTGCATTTGGGAGCGATTATAAGCAGCTCTGAGGGCAGCTGTGCAGGGTGGCGTGTCAGAGTGTGGGCTCCGTCCTGCAGGTAATGCGAACTGGAGGGTTCTAACCCAGGGCAGCAGCATGAACAGGTTCGGGTTTCTGAGACTGCCCACCTGCTCTGCAGAGAACGGACTGGGGGTGGGCAAGAGTGAAGCAGGGAAACCTACAGAGAGGCACCCAGGAAACAGCGGGGCCCTAGAGAAAGGGGCGTAGGGGAGGGTACTTAGAACAGAGACTTAATGGGACATGATAACACATGGGACATTGACTGTGACTTCTGGATGCTCCCATCTGAGCCAACTCCTGGCATTGGGTGGGGGGGGGCTACTTCCCTGCACAGGGGATGGTGGAAACACGTTAGGAGAAGGCAGAGGCTGAGGGTCTGGGACATCCAGGGGAGAAGTCTAAAGGCATCTGCTCTTGAGTCTGGAGGTGGGGGCAGAACTTGGAGGCAGAGATTCAAGGAGTAGCTGGGACCCAGCAGGGAGAAGAGCTCCATGGAGAGAAGAGCTAGGCCAGGGCAAGAGGGATTTAAGGGATCAGGAAGAAGAGAGAGTGACAGAGGGAGAGTAGCACTGGGGCCCCAGAGCCAGGGATAGAGAGTATGGTCAGGGGGAGGGGTGGGGTGGGCATGGTAAGGTGATGTTAGGGGTGTGGCTATGGAAAAGGTGGCTTTTATCCCAGGTCACTAGTAGGGGAGTAGGGGTTGCATAGGCCTGGGCTAAAGAACAGATGCCTGGGGCTTGGGAGCTGGGACCAGGAGGAGGACAGGAATCAGGGAGACTCAAGCTTTAGCCTTTCAAGGCTGTTCAGAAATGGACTCCTCCTCCCCAGTCTGACTGACAGGCAAGCCTCTGGCCTCTATCCCTAAACCCTAGTATCCTCATCTGTAAAATGGGGTAACGGGAAAAACAGCTGCCATTTATTGAGCACTTACTATGTGCCAAGCCAAGGACTCTCTCTCTATGTATAGCCTCATTTAATCCTCACAATAGTCTCACCAGGTGAATGTTACAGATAAGAAAACGGAGGCACAGAGATAAGTCTCTTGTTCAAGGTAACACAGTGATTGAATGGAGACACCAAGATTCAGACCCAGAGCCTGAATTCTGGACCATAATACTGTACTACTGACCCATACAAGGCACTTTACAGAGCACTCTCATCACCTCATGGGGTGGTTGAGGGGAATAATGAGATGACCCACACACCCAGAAAATGGCTGAGATTATTGGTGAGGCTGAATGATGCCCTCCAAAGATGTGCATGCCCCAATCCCAGAACTGGGGACTATGTTACTGTATCCACCAAATGAGACTTTGCAGCTGTGATTAAATTAAGGGCCTTGCCCTGGCCGGTTTGGCTCAGTGGATACAGCGTCAGCCTGCGGACTGAAGGGTCCCAGGTTCGATTCCGGCCAAGGGCATGTACCTTGGTTGCGGGCACATCCCCAGTGGGGGGGCGAGCAGGAGGCAGCTGATTGATGCTTCTCTCTCATTGATGTTTCTAACTCTCTGTCCCTCTCCCTTCCTCTCTGTAAAAAATCAATAAAATATATTCAAAAAAATAAATAAATAAATAAATTAAGGGCCTTGAGACGGGAAGATTATCCTGGGTCATCCAGGTCCAATGTCATCACACGGGTCCTTAGAAAAGGGAGGCAGGAGAAAGACAGAAAAGGAGACGTGCTGATGGAAGGAGAGAGGGGGTGTGGGGGGGGAGAGATGCTATGCTGCTAGGTTTGAAGATGAACGGAGCCAAAAAATGCAGGAGGTCTGCAGAAACGGGAGAAGGCAGGGAAACGTTCTCCCCATGAGCCGCGGGAAGGAACCAGCCCCGCCGACACCCAGACTTTAACCCAGCCGGCAAACTACGGCCCTCGGGCCGTTTGAAATGAATAAAACTAAAAAAAAAAAAGACCGTACCCTTTTATGTAATGATGTTTACTTTGAATTTATATTAGTTCACACAAACACTCCATCCATGCTTTTGTTCCGGCCCTCCGGTCCAGTTTAAGAACCCATTGTGGCCCTCGAGTCAAAAAGTTTGCCCACCCCTGCTTTAACCCGTTAACACTTACTTTGGACTTCTGACCTCTAGGCAGTAAGTTAATAAATTTGTGTTGTTTTTAGCCACTAAGTTTGTGGTATTTTGTTATAGCAGCAACAGAAAATGAATATATCACATCACTACACACCTGGCTCCCCTGGCCAGCTCTGGCTCAACTGCTACTGCAGCTGCTGTCGTGAATCACCCTTATATTTTTTAATAGTTCTTTAAAGTCCCAATTTGATTCTCTGTGAACCTCAGTCTCTTCCTTTGTTAAAAATAAAAATAGGGCTGGGCCTGGCCAGATGGCTCAGTTGATTGGAGCGTCACCCTGTACACTGAGAGGTTGGGGGTTTGATTCCCAGTCAGGGCACATACCTAGGTTGCGCCGGGCTTGGTCCCTGGTCGGGGCGCATATGGGAGGCAACCGGCCAATGTGTCTCTTTCACATCGATGTTTCTCTCTTTCCCTTCCTCTCTCTAAAATCAATAAACATATTTTCAGGTGAGGATTTAAAAAATAATAATAAAATAAAATATAAAAGTAGGGCTAATACACCTGACCCTAACTCTTTTGTAGGCACAGAATAATGACGGTGCTTTACATTATCTGAAGGTTCCCATAAACCACCGGGACAGATGAGGTCTAGTTATTGCCCCCATGGCTCAGATGAACAAATTAAGGGGAGGGAAATAGCCCATGCAGAGCCACACAGCTAGTAACAGAGCCAGGACTTGGACCAGGACTTCTGACTTCAGTTCTAGCACACTGAGGTTCATGTCTCAGAGCTTAGCTCATGTGCCACCTCCTCAGAGAAGCCTTCCTGGATAGCCTCAGCCCATTCATTCATTCATTCATTCACCAAACAGTTGCTATGACAGCTCTGTGCCCAGTTGGTGCTAAGAAAACTGGGGACCAAGTTCTGCCCTCAGAAGCTCACACCTTGTGAAGAAGACACACAAACCAGCCAGCCCAAACAGCCTGATAAATACTGAGGCAAAGGGAAGGAAGCACAGAGGGAGCCCAAAAGAAGGGAACCCGACTATGCCTGGGGCCAAGGAAGGCTTTCTGGAGGAGGTGGTGATGGAGCTGGGGACAAATAAGACTCAACCCCGAGTGTGGGCAGGTTCCAGAGGAGGAATGACTGCGCAGAGGCAGCGAGGTACGATGCTGCAGCTTCCTGAGGGCAGCAGACGGGTTGGGCCATCCCGGGCCCCGAAGTCCCTCTTGGCCTCCATTTCCCTGTGTATGGATGGGAATCGTGGGCCTTGGTGCCCAGAGCTTTGGCCATTGCTGGGCCCAGGTCCCTGGATTCCTCCTCTGGCTGAAGGTCAGGAAGGGTCAAAGGTCAGGGGTACAGGGCAGGGTGGAGGGAGCGTCAGGGAGACAGGGTCCTGGCTCAAGCCCCCATTCCATGTCCGACTCATGGTGTGACTATAGGAAGATCCTCTCAGAGCTTCAAGTGACACCATCTGAGAAGTGGAGCAGGAGACAAAGCTGGCTCCACAGACCTCCCCAGCCCTGACCGGGAAATGACGTGACACAAAATTACAAAAGGGTCTTTATTTGTAAAAAATCAAAGGGGCCCCTGGGGCAACAGGAAAGACAGACCAGCTTCTCAGGGGTCGGGGGCATTGGGGCAGATGCGCTTGAGTGGGGGGGCGCCCTCCGAGTCCTCGGTGTCACCCTGGGCTGCCTCGGGGACAGGTGGCACTGGCTCAAAGACAGGGTAAGCTTCGGGGGCCTGGAGAGGAAGGGCGGACAGGCATGAGCTCCCCCGGGCCCAGGAGTGCAGCCTCCTCGCCTCTGCTTTCTCCAAAGCCTCCACTCCATGCCCCTCCCGGACCCAGGAGTCTAGCCCAGAGCCAGGGACCCAGAATGCAGATTAAATGGGGGACTGGACATAACACATACTGTTTTGGGGAAAGAAACTGGTATTTGGTATTTCTGGGAAATACATCAAGGTAGTCCCTGTAGGAAGTCAACTTTGTGGGGGACTTTCTTAAGCTCATTGTATCATTTACCGTTTTAAAAAATAATACTTGGAGGAGCACCATGATCTTTTCAGGCTTTTAATGGTCTTAGGTCAGCCCTGAGCTGGCCCGCAGGACTCTGTTTCTAAGACACCCTTTCCTTTTCCGTCCCGAGATCCCAGCTCTGAGCCCTCAGCTGTGTCTGAGTCCGCATTTCCCCCCCAGACCTCAGGAGCGCAGCCCCCAAGCCTTGTGCTGCCCCCGAGCCCCATTCCCTCCAAGACCCGGGAGTCCAGCCTTCTGGCCTCTCTCACCTCAGCCTCCAGCAACTCTGGGACAGGCTCCTCCTTGGTCAGCATTGGGGGTTCATCGGTGCCGCCTGCAGTGATACCCCCGGGATCTGGAACGTCAAGGTAACAGATAGTCCCTGAGCAGCCGCTCTGAGCCACAGCACAGGCCGGGGGGAAACAAACACCAGTCACATAAGCCCCGGCTGTGGGAGCACCAGGAGGGAGCCAGCACCTGGCTGCACCCAGGAAAAGACACGGGAAGGACATTAGCTGGGATCCTGATGGGTGAGTAAGATCTGACCAGGCAGATGGGGAGGTGGAGCGCATGTTAGGCAGAGGGAACAGGCACTTCGGGAGCACAGATTCTGGGGTTGGACTGCCGGGGTTCAAATCCTAACCTTGGGCTAGTGACCTAATTTCTCTGGACCTCAGTTTCCCCGCCTGTAAAATGTAGGTAGTTAATAGTAGCTGCCACATGAGCCTGTGTGAGGATGAAATGAGATAATACAGGTAAAGTCCTTAGCACTGTGTCTGGCACATAGTTAACTGGTGCTCAATCCAGGCCACTTATTGTTTTTATATTAGTAAAGGTCCAGAAGCACACGGCACAATCTAGACACAGCCATAGGCCCAAATCATGGTGTTCCTGAAAGGGAACAATGAGGTCACGAGGGCACGGTTCACAAAGGGCCCAGAGTGGCAAGCTGGGAGCCACTGAAGCCTGCGAGCAGGAAAATGACCCCGTCAAACTTGTGCTTTAGAAAAAGTCGCTCCGTCAGCTACGTGGAGGTGACTGAGGGAAAGGAGACCTGCAAGGAGGCTGGAGTTCGGTGAGGATGAGAGGTGACAGAGGCTGGGGAGGGAGAGGGAGGTGGGCGATGCTGGGAGGAGGTACTGACCAGCTAGGGCCTTGACTATATGGAAAAAAGAGAAGCTGAGGAGCACTCGTGCTCAAGGCTGGTGAGCTGGGCGGTCAGTTTCTCATCTATAAATGGTGATGATAATCCTCATAGGGTTGTAGTAGGGATTAAAGGAGATAAAATAAAACATGTAAAAAGCTTAGAAGAGTGCCTGTCACACAGTAAGAGCTCAATAAGTATTAGCTGTCACTATCACATATTATTAATTACTCTTAAGATTAGCACTGTTATTGATTTCGAAACAAATATTTATTGAGCACCTACTATGTGCCACGTGGTGTTCTGAAGACACAGTAGCAAACAAGGTCAATATGGACCCAACATTCAGGCAGCTGACGTGAGGTGGACGAGGGAAAGAACGACACTTAGGTAATCATTAAATTTACATGAAAATCCCAGTGATAAGTTATCAACAGACCAGAAGTCAAGAGAAAGGTCCCTGACCTTCCGCGGGAGTCAGGAAGTCCTCCTGAGGAGGCACCGGAAGAGGGGGAGCAGGTACAGGGATAAGCTGGTGGCTTCAACCTTGGAGAGGACAAGACTCAGAAGGGAGGGCTCCTGGGTGGCACCTGGTCCTACCTCTCTCCTGGCCTAGCCGTGGAGGCTGGGCTTCCTCCGGGACCCCTTCCGGTGGTCCGGAAGGTGAGGCAGGGCGGCTGGGCTGCGGGGTGCCGCCAGGGCTGGGCTCAGTGCCCTTTTGCAGGGAGCCTTCCGAATGGAAACTCTGGTTACTGTTCTCATCTGTGAGAGCAAAAGTCGAGAGGGTTGGGCCTGAGGTCCCCAGTCCCCTCCTTCAATCCCATAGCCCCCCCCTCCCCCCCCAAGTCCCAGGATCCCTACATACCATTGAGATCAAGCAGAATGAGGGGACCACCCCCTCGGGGGCTGGCACCCCTACCCCGACGCTCCCGACCTCGGGATCTCTCTGCCCCGCCACCTGCCCTCCGTCGCTCCTGGGGATTAGAGGGGTAAGGATCAGAGTCAGCGCTTGCAAAGCCCCCACCCTACAAAAAAGTAAGCGGAGGCCAGAGAAGCGAAAGGCCCTGCGTGAGGTGACGAGGTGGTGCACACGGGGTGAGGTCTTGAATTCCCGGGTCTGGAGCAGGAGAAAGGGAGAAGGGGTGGAGTTGCCAATAATTGTTAACATGTGTCTGGGCTGCTGCATTTGAGGTCTCAGAGTGGGGACTGGAGGTGGAGGCCAGGATGGGGAGGGGCTCGCCTGGGGTTGTACAGATGCGGGGTCTGGTGTGGGGGAGCTTGCTCACCTCCTCCTGGGGGTCCACCACTGGCACCCACTTGAAGATACGAAGGGACGTGTCGCCCACAGTCACCCAGCGCTTCTCCCTGTGGGAGAGTGGGGGGACTAGGTCAGAGAGGCCGGAGCTGAGAGCCTCCCTCGGCAGCTAGGCACATCTGGGGGTACCTACAGAGGGGTGGGTGGAGCACAGGGAAGGGGCAGCTTTGCTGATGGGGCATCGTTAGAGGGAGAAAGGGAACCAACCGGCAGATCCCAGGGCATCCATGGAGGTGCCTCCAGTGACAGAGAAGGGGGCCATGGCTCACAGACCCGGGGTAGACATGGGCACCGGGCTCGGGCCTGGCTTGGGGTCGGGCACACTTTGGGGAGGAGTGTCAGAGCCTTAGGGGGCTGGGCATACATGGGGGCTCCTGCTCTGGAAGGGCACGGCTGGGGCACACGCTTTGTAGACCCCAGGGTGTAGCCAGAAGGGGACGGAGCTCTGTAGATCCGGGGCGCCGCTGGCGGACACACCTAACACCTGGGCCACCGCTGGTGAAGGGCGGGCAGACGCCTTCGGAGGAGGAACGGCCCTGCCAGTCCCGACCCTGGCCCCGGGACAGCGCTCACCATCTCCGGACCTTCTCGATGGTCGCCATCACCTTCTTGATGTCATCCTTGGCCCGGCTCCGGGTCTCAGCCCGCACGGTCCGGCCGGCCATGCTGGCGGGGCTGGGG